CCGTGGCCTGCAGATCAAGGACCAGACGGACGAGGCCCGATACTGCCAGCTGGTGCGACAGCTGTTGGACGACCACAAGGATGTGGTGACCCTCTTAGCTGAGGGACTACGTGAGAGCCGGAAGCACATAGAGGTCAGGGGCAGTGCAGTGGGGGCCCAGGCCTGTTGGGGGGGCCTGGGAAGGGCAGAGGGTTTCTGAGGCCCCACTCTTTATACAGGATGAGAAGCTAGTCCGCTACTTCTTGGACAAGACGTTGACTTCAAGGCTTGGGATCCGCATGTTGGCCACACATCATCTGGCACTGCATGAGGACAAGGTGGGGTGTTGGGACCTGAGACCCACCTGGGAATGTCAAGTGGGACAGAGGGGACTGAGCGAGGGGACTGGGGACTGGGCCGAGGGCCTGGGAGAGGCTTGAGGCTGCTTCAGCAGTCCAGAGGTTGCAAGCATTTGGTGGCCGAGGTGTGGGTAGAGGTGCTGCCTACTCCTGACTTTCTTTCTCCTGCCAGCCTGACTTTGTTGGCATCATCTGCACTCGCCTCTCTCCAAAGAAGATTATCGAAAAGTGGGTGGACTTTGCCAGGTAAGGCTGGAACGGCTAAGGGGGTGGATGTCTTTGGGCAGGGAAAGCTTGGGTCTGAACCCTTACCCAGAGCAGTCTAGGGCAGGGTTTCTCAACCGTGGCACTATTAACATTTTGGGCCAGATAATTCTTTTTTGTGAGGGGCTGTCCTGTGCGTGTTAGGGTGTTTAGAAGGATCCCTGGCCTCTACTCACTTGATGCCAGTAGTACTCCCCAGTCGTGACAAGCAAAAATGTCTCTAGAAATTGCAAAATTTCTCTGGGGGGGAGCGGGGGCAGAATCGCCTCCAGTTGAGAACCGCTGGTCTAGGTCTGAACCCTTGCCCCTATCCACAGACGCCTGTGTGAGCACAAGTATGGCAATGCCCCCCGTGTCCGCATCAATGGACATGTGGCCGCCCGTTTCCCCTTCATCCCCATGCCGCTGGACTACATCCTGCCCGAGCTGCTCAAGAATGCCATGAGGTGGGCTGGCTGCATATGTGGGAAGGGGGCAGACATGAACTCTGGGGTGAGGCTGAGGTACCACTACCTACTGGTCTTTCCCCCTTGCATAGAGCCACGATGGAGAGTCACTTGGACACTCCCTACAATGTCCCAGATGTGGTCATCACCATTGCCAACAATGATATCGATCTTGTCATCAGGTTTGCTCTGAGTGGGAGTGGGGCTGGGGTGGGTGGAGGTTCCAGGCACTGTTTCTTTTCTTTCTTTTTTTTTTTTTTGGTGAGGAAGATCAGCCCTGAGCTAACATCCATGCTAATCCTCCTCTTTTTTTGCTGAGGAAGACCGGCTCTGAGCTAACATCTATTGCCAATCCTCCTCCTTTTTTCCCCCAAAGCCCCAGTAGATAGTCGTATGTCATAGTTGCACATTCTTCTAGTTGCTGTATGTGGGACGCGGCCTCAGCATGGCCGAACAAGCAGTGCGTCGTTGCGCGCCCGGGATCCGAACCCGGGCCGCCAGTAACGGAGCATGCGCACTTAACCGCTAAGCCACGGGACCGGCCCTCAGGCACTGTTTCTGACTTGCTGTATGACCTCAAGCCAGTACCTGCCCCATTCTGAGACCTGGTCCCTGATCAGACAAGATGTTCTCTGGTCCTGAGATTGCCATGAGCTGGAGAGAGAAGGTATGAGCAGTCAGTGGCCCAGGCAGAACTGAAGATGGAGGAATGTAGCTTATAAAAAACAAGGCCCAAGGGTCTAGGTGGACCACATTCCATCTTTGGGTGGAAGGGACAGGAAGGCAGACTTAGCACTGTCTGCTTGGGAGGTAGTGAGCTCCCCATCGAAGCTGAGCCAAACTCATGATATCGACATCCTGCCAGGATTTCAGACCGGGGCGGGGGAATCGCTCACAAAGACCTGGATCGGGTTATGGACTACCACTTCACTACAGCTGAGGCCAGCACCCAGGACCCCCGGATCAGTCCCCTCTTTGGCCACCTGGACATGCACAGTGGTGGCCAGTCAGGACCCATGCATGGGTGAGACCCCACCTGGCCAGGATGGAGGGGTGGGGGGCTCTAGGAGACTCAAGCCTCTGAAGCCCCTGTCCTATCCCCCTGCCCACTCCCAGCTTTGGCTTCGGGCTGCCCACATCACGGGCCTACGCGGAGTACCTTGGTGGTTCCCTCCAGCTGCAGTCCCTGCAGGGCATTGGCACGGATGTCTACCTGCGGCTCCGTCACATCGATGGCCGGGAGGAAAGCTTCCGCATCTGACCCCGCAGCCCTTGGCCTGCTCGCCTGCCCAGCCTGGGCCACCCACCCTGCCCAGACCTTCTGGGCCAGGCAGGGTGCCACCCTGCTCCACATGCTGCTGCATCTTGGGTCTTAGGGCCCCAAACAGATGGACTTCCATGGAGCTGGGAGCCACCCCTCCTTGACAGGATCCACTGCTTCCCTGCCTCCAGGCCTTGGAGGGGAGGAAGTGGGGACCCTTGAGGCTTCCAGCACCAGCTCCGTCATTCTCGTTCCTGGGGAACCCCCACTTTGACCTGCTGTCTGTTATTAAAGTTCACATTTGGAATGCCCTCTTGGGCCCCGTGTGTGGGGAGGGCAGGTGAGCTTTTGTTTCTGCCCACATTCAAGTTCCCTGGGCCCTTGGGTTAAACTAGTTCATGTCCCAGTCTCTAACTGTCCTGACAGCCAGGAGTAGAATTGGCCCCAAGTCTCTTGCACATTTTGTTTGGTGGGAGTGGGGGTGAGGGGCGGTCTGGCAGTTTATACAAAGACCTTTCATTCATTTCATGTTACAAATGTTTCTGGGTCCCAGACAACATTGAGGGTCCAAGTGGGCCCAGCTTCAGACCTCAGTTCTGACTCTTCCCTTCCTGGCAGTCACAGGTTCTGGAGGTGAAGGTCACCAGATTTGGCAACCTCCTGAACCACCTGATTGCTGAACCTGAGTAAGGTTAAAAATACTGCTTGCCAGCTGTGCCTGCTGCTGCCAAGGAAAGGAACACACACGATTGTGCCGTGGCAGGCCCCCGAGGACAGTGGGGCCCTGGTTGGGAGGGCAAAAGGAAAAGGCTCTGGAGAGCAGGTGGGGACCCCTATCTTGCTAGGGAAGGAGAAGACAGGCCTGAGGGCCTGCTTGGTGGGACTGGTGATGGCAGTGGAGGTTTTGAGGGAAGACAGGGATTGTATCTAGAGGGCAAATTCCAGGGGGTGGGAAACCACAGTGACTTGCCAGGCTGAAAATCCTGTTGGCTGCAGCAGTGGGGTGAAGCTAAAGAGGTAGGTGGCAGTCAGGGTGAAGGGCCTTGAATGTACAGCCAAGAAGCATGGGCTTTATCCTGCAGGAGGATGGGTTTTAAGCTAGGAAGGGATGTTTCAGGTTGGATTCTCTAGAAGCAGACCCCGAGCGGAGGATTTGTGTCCATGTGATTTGTTGAGAAAGCAGTCCCGGAAGTGAGTAGGGGAAGCCGGAAAGGGAAGGGCAGGAGGCCAGGCAAGGATGTGGTCTAAGGCAAAAGTTCCGAGCCAAAGTTCTGCCTCAGAGCTGGAGGCCAGATTGGTAACTAAGCTCCACCGTCATTGATGAACTCCTCCATCTGACAATCATTGGTTAATGTCTGTGTTGGGAAGTGTGAGTGGGGAGGTACTTGAACTTCCAGGCCGAAAAATTGAGTTTTCAGCTCTTTCAGGCAAAACAGCTCTATTAGCCGAGAGGCAGTTCGACAAAGAAGAGCCTCTGGTGCTGGTTTCTGAAAGCACATCAAAGGTAATCGGGGCACAGAGAAGCAATAAAGAGAGATTCCAGGGGATCTACGTAGTTCTAGGAAGAACAGTGTTTCGCATATCAGAAGAATCACTGGTGGAGGGACAGTAGTGAGGAGCTTGGTGCAGTGACCTTGATCAGGGATTTATAAAACCTAGGCTAATCCTTAACTAGAAGGACAGTATTTGTAACTGAAGATGTTGGGTGAAGTCAAAGGTGAGGCACCAGAACCCTGGGTGGATAGAATAACAATCTTGAAGATGAGGGGTGGGGTGGGGAGTGGGAAAAGGCATTACAATTTTAATTTTTTCTTTCCTGACTGTTGTTTGTCTTCTGTTTCTCATGATGCCAGACAGCTGCATTCACTGCCCCCCACAACTCCTCATTTCCCCAAAGCCAAGTTATCAGCACTTCCCACTGCCATCCCCCCCAAATATCTGACTCAGTTACTTCTTGATCTGTAACCTTAGGCCTTGAGCATTCCACCCGTCTTAGAATTGTTTCGAAGTCCAATAACCAAATTATAAGTCAAAGAAGGTTCAGCGAGTGGCCAAAGGGAATGTTTACTGAGCACCTACCCTGTCTGGCACTGTGCAATACACTTGTTTTATATACATAAGAGCTAGATAAATATGTGGTTTAACCTTCATATAGTTATATGGCTTATACAGTTATATATAGTTTTACCTTCACCTACACTCGGAGAATGGACACACTTGTACAACTTACTCAGAGTAGAGTCAGAACCCAGGATTCCTCACTCATTAAGTCCAAGACACTCTCCATTATGTCCACTGCCTTTGGCTAGTGTCTGTTCAGGGGTCGTCTGGTTTGGGGGCCTAATCATTTCTTTAGAAAGGCTTGATTCTGTGAGAATAATTTATTGGCTGTCCCTAGACACACCCGTCCTGCTTCCCCCACCCCAAACGTATCCTTTTCCCACCCTGAACAAGGAAGGCAGTTTCCTCAATGTTTAAAAAAAGGGGTGATCGGTACTAGGCTGGCGAAGTGGGCGGCGCAGGAGTGGGTGTTGATTCCTGGCTCGAGGCCTGATAATTGGCACGTCTTGGCTTCCTCAGGGACCAGGGCCTTTAAAAAGATCGAGCTGAGTCATCAGATCAAGAAAGTCTCCTCTTTTCAACTCTAGGGTGCAGCCATATTCTCACACCGAAAGAAAGGAACCCCAGGGCACTCGGCACACTAAACGTCAAGCTTGTCTTCGGCGCCGCCCACATGGCCACACTAACCAATGACCTCCTGACACGTCACAGACCCCATCCTCCAGCCTGCTGCTGCCTCCGCCACGCGTCGCTGACCCGGAGCTGAAAGCACTGCGCGGCGCCGGAATCTGGCGTCACTTCCACCACAGCGATGGCGGCACAGGGAGCGTCTGCGGCGATTGCGGCGGCAACTTCAGGGGTCGCGGGGGAGGGCGAGCCCGGGCCCGGGGAGAGTGCGGCGGTCGAGGGGACCGCCCCGTCCCCGGGCCGGGTCTCTCCGCCGACCCCGGCGCGCGGCGAGCCGGAAGTCACCGTGGAGATCGGAGAAACGTACCTGTGCCGGCGTCCGGATAGCACCTGGCGTGAGGGCGGAGCAGGGGCATGGGCGGGGCCTGGGGACGGGTTCTCTGAGGGGCTGGGAGTCGTGGAGGGCGGGGCTGGAGGAAAGAGAAGGCGAAGTTTCAGGCTATCCCGGGCGCCGCCTACAAACCCCACCTGTCAGGCTATCGCAGAATTCTTCTTGTATATAGAGCTTCCTTTCCACCTTCTTGCCCACTGTTAGGCTTCATTCCCTTTTCTTGTTAACCTTGCTTCCTCGCTGGTCTCTCTTGTCTCTGCGACTTCCGCTTCCATCCGTCCCCTACAGCTGCCAGCGGAGAGGACCTTCCAGAACACAAAAACGAGCTTTCCCTTCCCTTCCATTGCCTTGCCTCATCTTCAAAGTAAACCCCTTAGAATGGCATTCATCTTTGTGACCTCTCTGGTGTCTAACCACCCCTAGCAAAGGCCATTTCCAGACCAGACCACTCTGTACCTTCCCGAAGACCATATGTCTTTTACCACCTGTGCCCTCTGCCCTTTCTTCCCCTTCTTGTTCACCTGGCTAGCTCCTACTGATCTCTTTAACACCATATTCCCTGCGATGCCATTCCTGACTCCCTTCAGGCAAAGTGAGTCATTCCCTTCTGTATGTTCCTGCAGCATTTTCTTCATACCTCAGCTATGGAATATGTAACGTTATGTTGTCATTGTCTCTCTGTGTCTTTTCCTATCAAAGTGGGAACTTCTGGAGGGTAGGTCTGCTTGTGATTCATTGCTGTGTCCTCTGTACCCAGCAATAGCATAGCATAGGGCCAGACATGCAATGGTTGTCTTACTCATGTGTTAAATGGTATGCTAGTTGTCAGGTGCTATACTACTAAAGCTTTAAAGGCATTAACTGACCCTCTGAGGTGGGCACTAGTATCCCTATTTTACAGATGAAGAAACTGAGGCTCAGAAAGTTGAAATAACTTGCTTAGTTAAACATAGCTAGGAAGTTGAGAGCTAGAATTCTATATAAACCTAGGTTGTCTGACTCCAGAGCCAGCCCTCATGACCCCTGAACAAATGAATGATTGGGTATAGTGAAATAAGCATTGAATTTGGAGCCAGACTTATACCCAGTTAAGTATTAGCTCTTATCACATTTCAACTTTGTGAGCCTGGGTAAGCCTCAGTTTTCTTATCTGTAAAATAAGAATAACAGCTCCATCCTGGCCCACCTCACAGGCGATGATTGAATGGAATGGCAGATGTGGACAGGTGAGGTTAGCTTATGTGTGGCTCTGGAATCTGGAAACTGCTCCTCAGTGTAAAAGATTCCTCTTGTTCCAGCCTTGCCTTCCTTCCTGATGATCCTAGCCTTCTTCCTTCACAGATTCTGCTGAAGTGATCCAGTCTCGAGTGAATGATCAGGAGGGCCGAGAGGAATTCTATGTACACTACGTGGGCTGTGAGTGACTTGGGGTATCCGGGCCTGGGTGGGGGAGAGGGGTGGAAGGGCAGCACCCTCATGGCCCATCCTCACAGTTAACCGGCGGCTAGACGAATGGGTGGACAAGAACCGGCTGGCGCTGACCAAGACAGTGAAGGATGCTGTGCAGAAGAACTCAGAGAAGTACCTGAGTGAGCTGGCTGAGCAGCCTGAGCGCAAGATCACTCGCAACCAGAAGCGCAAGCATGACGAAATCAACCACGTGCAGAAGGTCCGGGCCCCCCCCCTTCCCTGGGGCCCCAGGAGGTTCAGCTACCTCTGCCGACTCCTTTGGGTCCCAGTGCAAAAACCACAGCAGCTCCCATTTCTTAAGCTCCTGCAGTGCGACAGGGACTTTACCTACCTCTTCTTATGTACTCTTTGAAGAGATAAGAAAACTGAGGCTCAGAGAGGGCAGGGGCTTGGCTGTAGTCTCACAGCAAAGAAATGGTACAGCTGGGACTGGAACTCAGGCCTCCTGTACTGATAGCCTCTTTTGTCTCCCGTTGGCTGTGCCACATTAGACAAAATGACTTGAAGTCCAAGGGGAAAGAAGAAAATGAATGACGTTGGGCACTTGCTATTGCCAGGCATCATGCTGAGTACTGTACATGTGTAAGCTCATATCCTCCCTAACAATTCAACACCACAAAGATAATTGTTTCCTTTTGTGAATGAGGATGCAGGCTCAGAGAGGTTAGGTGACATGCTTAAGGTCACACAGCTAGTAAAAAGGTGGGCTGGAGTTAGAACAATAATAGCAAACATTAATTGGCTCGTGAGCCAGAGTTTTAGGCTAAGTGTTTTACTACATGTCCTCACTGAAGTTTCACAGCAACCCTGTGAGGTAAGCATTATTATTATTCTCAGTTTACAGGGAAGGAACAAACAGGTTTAGGAACCCAGTCGAATTAGATTTGCCAACTAGATTGTTCTACTTTGGGGCACAAACCATTAACTGTGGCTTTGACACATCCTAGAAACTCAGGCCATTTGTTTCTAAAACCTGAGTTCTTTTCACCAAGCCAGCCAGCCCCTGGGGGGTTAGTTTCCTGCCACCCTGAGCCTCGGTTTCTTGATTTGTAAAGTGGGGAGTGCAGACGAGAACAGGGTTTGTTGAACTCTCAAAGCATCGGACATTCATTAGTTCCAGCCAGTGCGCTTTTATCCTTCTGATCGCTCGTGTGCTCTGCGGCATGTTTTTTAAACTGTGGGGTGCAGCTGTTAGTACATTGCCAGATTAGTTCAGTGCATTGTGACCAGCATTTATATTTTTTAAATGGAAGAAAGAAATAGGATAAGACAGAAAATATTAGAGTGCATTGAATTTTATTAAAGGTAAGTATTTTTTTGAGAAACTTTTATTTAACGTACAAGTACACATATGTATATACACAAACATGTCAACTGGTTTATAGTGCTAATTGCACTTCCTACTGTGGGTTGTGATTAAAAGATAATTTGAAATACCCTGAACTAGAAAGTCCTCTCCAGGTCTAAGGCAGCACTGTCCAGTTGGACTTCCTGTGATAAATGTCAAGCGTTCTATATCTGTACTGTCCGGCGGAGTAGCCTCTAGCCACATGTGGCTACTGAGCGCTTAAAAGGTGTTTAGTGTGACTAAGAATTAAATTTTATTTAAACTTAATGAATTTAAAAAGCCACACGTGGCTAGTTGCTACTCGATTGGACAGGTTCTAAGGTTCTCTTAGTTCCCCAACCAGGTTGCACTGGCAAATTAAGTCTCAAAGATGTACCTCCAAGCTGGCAATCAGCAGGGTGAATGACAATGGGCCAATGGTGATAAAGGGTGGATAATCAGCGAGGTAACGATCAGCAAGGTTCTTCAGAGCCTAATTAATGTTTCGTTCTAAATAAATTGCAGCATTTAAGAAAAGTAGTGTTTTTGTAGTTCTTTAATGCATTTGCAGAAGAGGATTGTGTCTTGTGAGAGTCTGGGAAATGCATTTTAAAGAGGCCTATGAGCAGGAAAATCTTTCTTCCCTCATCTTTGCGGGGGTTAGGCTCGGAGTTGGACAGAGTGGGGGCCCATGCCCAACTGTGCTAACCTAGGGCAAGTGATCTCACCTCTTTGTGCCTCAGTTTCCTCTTTTGTGCAGCGCGGATAATGAACACTCTTGTCTCAGGCTCACTGTGAGGACCAAATGAAATAACGCCTGTGGAGTGCTTGGCAGCTAGTTCCCAAGGGCAAGTGACCTCCCCTCTCCCTCCTGTTTCTTTTGTGTAAAATAGAAAGAAGAACGTTGTATCTCAGGGTTGCTGAAAGGGCTAAATGAGGCCATATAGGCAAAGTGCTCTGTGGAAGGGGGTTCTGGGTAAAACACTGGCTCCTTTCTCCCTTCTCAACTACAGGACAAGGCTGCCGCCGTCTACTCTGCTGTAGGTCATAGGCCTTGGGTCCCCCCTCCATTGTCTGTCTGTACTTGGTTCCTCCTACAGAGTCAGGCCTAGGAACAGGATGTGCTGTGAGTGTGACATGATTTTTAGTCTCTGCTTTCTTTTTTTTTTTTTTTTTTTTAAAGATTTTTATTTATTTATTTTTCCCCCAAAGCCCCAGTACATAGTTGTCTGTCATAGCTGCACATCCTTCTAGTTGCTGTATGTGGGACGCGGCCCCAGCATGGCCGGAGGAGCGGTGCCTCGGTGCGCACCCGGGATCCGAACCCGGGCCGCCGGCAGCGGAGCGCACGCACTTAACTGCTAAGCCACGGGGCCGGCCCATAGTCTCTGCTTTCTAAGGACTTGGAAAATAGGGGAAACCAAGTGGGGGCAGTCAGAGGGTATTATTATTAACCACTGTGTTCCTGACTTGGGAAGGAGAGGGTGTATTCTGCATCTGAACAATCCAGTCAGGCCTCCTGGAGGAGGTGGGCCTTGAAGGACAGGAAGGAGCACAGTGAGAACAATTACACATGCTAGCTCACAAAGCTCTGCCTCATCACACACTCACCTAGCTCACGCTCTGTACTGGGTGGAGTAAACATGTTCTGGCGGCAGTAGGAGAGGGAAGGACATTCAAGGAGGGAGGAACTGCATGTGCAAAGGCACGAACGCTGGAAAAAGAGGGGTGTTGATAGCAGTGTAGATTTAAAGGGGCTGAGACTGGAGGCTGGGAATCTAAGGAGGCCTAGTCAATTGTCCAGACCTAAGATGGTTGCAGTGACTATTTGGAGTGGGACAGAGAGGAGAATTCCAGAGAGGGACTGATTCCAGAGGTGTCAGGGAGTCCAGGACTTGGCTGTTAACTGAATGCCAGGCTGAGAAAGAGGGAAGAGTCTTAAGAGCAGGCCTGTTATTGGTCTTGGGAAGTTGGACTGAGATTGATGCTCCTAGTGATGTGGGGAACCCAGGAGGATGAACAGGCTTGCAGGGAGGAAAGATTGAGTTCCTTTCCAGACACTCGAGTCTGATGTGCCTGTGGAAGGAACTCTGGGAGCAGTCTCACGGGCAGGCCGCTCCTTGGGTCTGGCGCTCAGGAAAGAGGTCCAGGCGCAATGGGGAGTCGGCACCAGTTCCAGCTGTGGGCGTGGAGGACAAGATCCATTATTTCATCTGTCTCACAACAAGTTTGGCAGAGCTGGAGTGATCATTGTACAGCTGGAGCTCTTATCAACCCAAGGACTGGACCCAGCCCTCCTGATCCTAGTCCTGTTCATCTGGCAAAAGGTCCAAACTCGGGCATCTGGGGCATCTGGGATGTATGGGTGGGCAGGCAGACGGGAGAGGAGCTTAGACCAGCCAGCTTCAAAACCAGGTAAAACAAGTTAGCTATTTGTATTGTTCTTACTGTCATTCAGGGGATGAGGTCTGGAAGACAGGAGGGAAGCACTGAGTTCTAGGGCAGGGGAGGGACGGCCTGACCACAACTTCTGTTCACCTCTGTCTGCTGCTCTTTCCTTGCCCAGACCTATGCAGAGATGGACCCCACGACAGCAGCCTTGGAGAAGGAGCATGAGGCGGTAAGCAGGAGCAGGGGTCCTGCCTGTGGGCTCTCCCTCCCTCCCGCTTTCCTTGCCCCAACTGAGCCATCCACTGCCCTGCACTCCCGTCTTGCCCACAGATCACCAAGGTGAAGTACGTGGACAAGATCCACATCGGGAACTACGAAATCGATGCCTGGTACTTCTCGCCATTCCCCGAAGACTATGGGAAGCAGCCCAAGCTCTGGCTCTGCGAGTACTGCCTCAAGTACATGAAATACGAGAAGAGCTACCGCTTCCACTTGGTGAGGCTGGGCTGCCTGGTGAGAGAGGGGCGTGGAGGCTGAGGGCGCCTGAGGCAGCAGCGCTAGGGAAGGGAGACAGGTCCAGAGGGGTTGAGCCCAAGGAAAAGCTGCCACGGGCTGAAAGACCTGGATTCCAGGCCTGGCTTTGTCTTTGCTGGAGTGGTGTTGGCCAACTTGCTGCCCCTCTGCAGACCTCAGTTTCCTCTCCTGTGGAATGGGGACAGTAATCCCTGTCTTTACCCCTCCTCGGGTCCCTTGCCTTTTACCACCTTTATCAAGGCTATCCCAGGGCCAGGTTCCTCAGTGCAAGAGAGGAAGCAAGCATGGCCCGTGAGCCATGGGACCATAACGTGTGACAGATGGGAAGCAGTGGTACACAGAGCTGCCAGGGGCGAGGGGCTTTCATCACTAGCGCAGCAGGGTGTTTCCCCAAGAGTGCAACCTGCAGCAAATGAACGCCGCTAAGGAAACACCCTTGTCATAGATGAGAGCCCTCCAGGGTCCTCTAGAGCCAGGCTGACCTGGACTTGAACCATCTAGCTGCGCGATGTGCAAGCCAGTTACTTAGCCTCTCTGTGCCTTGGTTTCTTCATCTGTAAAATAGGCTCTGTTTCCTCAGGTGGTTGGGAGGGTTACTCCACCTAGGTGAAGTGTTGAGCCCAGGGTATATAGATGGGGAAACCAAGAGAAGCAGAGCCTTGCTGCAAGCCACACAGGGTGAGATGGGGGCACCTAGCAGAGAACCTTAGGGTCTCAAGCCTGTATCTCCCTTTGCCCACCCCCAGGGCCAGTGTCAGTGGCGGCAGCCCCCAGGGAAGGAAATCTATCGCAAGAGCAACATCTCTGTGTATGAGGTAGACGGCAAGGACCACAAGGTGAGCTGGGTGGCGCTGTGGGGTGGGGGGCAAGCACTGGGCACCTCGTGACCATCCTCATTGTCACCAAAGGATAGGACCAGCCTTAGGATGAGCCTCCACCGGGAAAAGGCGTGTGGATCATGCTTAGCCTGGCACTTGGCCTGTGGCTGGTGCATAGTAATCACGTGGCCCTGTGGTGCCAGCCTCGGGGACTGGGTTTCCCTGTGTCCCTGAGGACCTTTCTCCTGATGGGGTAGTTTAGGTTTGGCCAGTTCCGGAACCCAGAGTGGAGATTGTTGTGCCTGAGGCCACTTCTAGAAGCACTTTCTCTTTCTGCCTGAAGGAAGGATGTTTGTCTTTCCTGGGAGGGAACCGCTTTGTGTAAGATTTCCTGCCTGAGAGCTCGGTGGCTCTGAGGGCTGAGTTCCTTGTTCCTGTCCGAAAGACAGGCAGGGTGGGGCCTTTGGGGCCTGCTTTGTTGTCATTGAGAACCTGGCCTTTGCTTGGTCAGTCTAGGAAGGTCTCCCCAAGTGAGACACTTTCCTGTGGAAGGGGAGTATAGTGTCAGATGAACAGGGCAGGCTTCTGAGTGGCCCCTGGCTTCAGATCGCCCGTCACTTCCTAGCTGACCTTAGACGAGTTACTTAATGTTGTTTGTTCCTGTTTCCTCATCCATAAGGCAGGAGTCATGATAATATTTACCTAATAGGATTCTTAATGGAGTAGATGAGACAACAATGTCAAATACTTAGCACAGGGCCTGGCATCGAGTAGGTGCTTAGTAAACATGGCCTTTGTTATTTTCGGTGACCTCTTGGGGCTAAACCAGCCTTGTAATATATAAGTTTGGGGAATATCTGCTCTTAGCCTGGCGCTTGCCTGCTGCTCTGCCTTCCTGAGCATAAACGGGGAGTGGCAGGAGACGTGGGGGTTCCTTCCACCTCTACCCTCTGCTGGCTTTGAGGCCTCAGGCAAGCACTTCCCCTCCCAGAGCCTCATTTTACTCCTAAAAAAATGAGACTAGCAATGCTGAGCTCACACAATTGTTGGGTCAGATGAGAGTGGATGTAAAAGGTGTCATAAACCAGAGGGCCCCTTGATCTGTGCTGTGAAGCCAACCTCAGGGTCCCATTGGCCCTCCTGACTTTGGTCTCTGGCCTGGGTGGGTGTCTGGCCCTGCAGCAAGGAGGCTAGTGAAGCCCAGCAGAGGAGCACGGCCAAGTGGACAGGCAGCTCAGGCTTCAGAGTCAGGCTTGAGGCTCGTCCATTCAGCAGACGTTTACCAGCCACCCAGCTTCATGCTCAGCCTTGTGCTGAGTGCAGGGACACAGCTATGAACCAGACAAAACTCATATACCAGTTTGAATCCTGCCCTAGCTCTTGCCAGCTGTGGGGCCTTCAGCAAGCCACTTATCTCCTCTGAGCCTATTTCCTGATCTGAAACATAAGAGTTAAGGTCTGTGAAGATTGAACTCATATTTAGCACTCAAAAGTGGTAGCCAGGATTAGTCCAGCTCTGCCATTACCTCCTCCATTGCTAATAGCTCTCTGGTTTTCAGTTTCCCTGTCCATCAGAAAATGACTCCAAGACGCTTTCCAATTCTAAATACTACTGTTCTGGTGAGGAGCCCACTTCTGACCTGCCTGGCACTGGCTGCTCTCTGGAGCCTGGCACTTGCAGAGCAGGGTGGCAGCTCCTGCCCAGGCCTTGATGGGCCAGTTGGGGGGGTTGTACTTGCTGCCTGAGCCTGCTTCCACCTCCCTCACCCCTCAGATTTACTGCCAGAACCTGTGTCTGCTGGCCAAGCTCTTCCTGGACCACAAGACATTGTACTTTGACGTGGAGCCCTTCGTCTTTTACATCTTGACTGAGGTGGACAGGCAGGGGGCCCACATCGTCGGCTACTTCTCTAAGGTGCTGGGTCAGGAAGCCCAGGTTGAGGGAAGGTGGGGAGTGCGAATGGGAGATGGGGCTGAGCCTCCGCAGAGGTCCTGATCCCCCATCCCTGCAGGAGAAGGAGTCTCCAGATGGGAACAATGTGGCCTGCATCCTGACCCTGCCTCCCTACCAGCGCCGTGGATACGGAAAGTTCCTCATTGCTTTCAGTGAGTGGCTCCTGGTCTGTCCAGGAAGGGGCGACTGTGGTGGGGGTCCAGGGCAGGCTGGGTCCTCAAGATCCTTATTTCCACCACTGCCAGGTTATGAGCTATCCAAGCTCGAGAGCACGGTAGGCTCACCTGAGAAGCCGCTGTCTGACCTGGGCAAGCTCAGCTACCGCAGCTACTGGTCTTGGGTCCTGCTGGAGATCCTGCGAGACTTCCGGGGCACACTGTCCATCAAGGACCTTAGGTTAGGGCCCTGATCCCCAGCCCTGTCCAGGGCATGCTGTCCATCAAGGACCTCATGAGGGAGGCTTCCTGGAACCCTCAAAGAGGGAAGGACTCTTCTAAGATTGGCCATGATCCTGTCTCCTTGTCCCCTTTTGTTGTCCCAGCCAGACGCCACAAGGGAACTCTCTCCAGCATCTGCTCTAATTCTTTCTGCAGCCAGATGACCAGCATCACCCAGAATGACATCATCAGCACCCTACAGTCCCTCAACATGGTCAAGTACTGGAAGGGCCAGCACGTGATCTGTGTCACACCCAAGCTGGTAGAGGAACACCTCAAAAGTGCCCAGTATAAGAAACCACCCATCACAGGTGGGTCGGGGGCTTCCCAGGGTGTGTGTGGTGGAGGGTAGGTGTAAGGCCTGCTGGGAGCCAGAGCCTCCTTTCTGCTGTCACTTGATCCCAAACCAGTCTGACCAGCTCTCCGACCTGAAGCCTGGGGCAGGCTACTCATTCCTGGGCTTCCCTGCCCCCTCCTTAGGACTCAGTGTGCCCCTGTTCTCACCTAGAGGTGAAACCTGGCCTGGGCCCAGAGGCCTACCTCTGCCTCTCATGCCTCTTCTCCCCACAGTGGACTCTGTCTGCCTCAAGTGGGCACCCCCCAAGCACAAGCAAGTCAAACTCTCCAAGAAGTGAGTGGCCTCTGCCCCTGCTGCTGGACCATGCCTCTTTGCCCCCTAGCCTGTAAATATGTACAGACCTGTTTCATCATTTTTTTAATAAAGTAAGTTCTGCTGGTGGCTCTGGACTTCGGAGGTGAGTGGGAGGCCAAGAGCTGATTTTTTTTTTTTTTCCCTGAGGGCGATTGGCCCTGAGCTAACATCTGTGGCCAATCTTCCTCTTTTTGCTTGAAGAAGATTCGCCCTGAGCTAACATCTGTGCCAATCTTCCTCTATTTTGTATGTGGGTCACTGCCATAGCATGGCCACTGAGCCGTGTAGGTCCCTGCCTGGGAACTGAACCTGGGCCAACAAAGCGGAGTGTGCCAAGCTTAACCACTAGGCCACAGGGCCGGCCCCTGATGTTCTTCATTTCACATCACAGACACAGCCAGTTATGCTCAAAACATTTTATTCCTTCTTGCTCCTTTTACCCCCCATCCCAGATCCAAGCCCGAGCTCAGTTCCGGTGGGGGCTCAGTCCTCCGGAGTCCAGGAGTCAGGGCTGAAGGGGGGCATGGCAGCCAATGAGGCAAGATTGAGGCCTTTTCTGTCCTTGAAAACATGCTGCCCAGAGGCAGCCCCAGCCCAGAAGACAGGAAGAGGGTGAAGGATGGGGCTCATCAAGCAGAGCAGGTGGGGTGGTGGAGCCAGCCCTTCAGCAGCAATCAGCTAGGCAGCTGCCCAGTCTTCTAGAAAGAGAGTGAGGAGCCAGGGCCTCTTTTCATAGCTAAGGGTCCTTGGGGGCTCCATAGGAGCCCAACCAATAGGCTTGTGGACAGCAGGTGTAGGTGGCCAGAGGTTCTAGCCAGTACCACAGGCAGTAAAACTCCTAACTCTGGATTTAGTCCCAAAGAACAGACCCAGAAGAGTGGACTCAAAATTCAGGATGGTGCCCTGGACTCCCGCAGGGTCCTGGGAGGAAGGAGTGGCTCAAGCCAGGCCCAGGCCCACAGAATGTCAGGGAGCGGCAAGTCCATTCAGGGGAACAGGTGTCTATCCTTGGGTGCAACGTGGAAGTTCTGGAAGCAGAGTCAGCTCCTAGGGTGAGTAGCTCAGTGCTCGTGCCATGCACCGAGGAAGCCCAGGGTCAGGCTTAGTGGCAGCAGCAAGATGGGCCCCAATAAGCCCTGGGCTGCAGCAGAGTTGAAGGCCAGATGGTTGCTGCAGAGGTTGCTGTCGGGCTGGGACTCGTGGATTTGGGGCACCACACGAGGCTGGAGCTTTGCAACATGGTGGTTAATCCAGGAGGCATAGCTGGAGGTCAGAGTGTACACACCAGGCCTGTTGGGGGCCCCACAGGCATCGCCCCAGCTCACAATGCCTGCCAGGTACCAGAGGCCCCCCACAGGACAGGAGAGTGGGCCCCCAGAGTCACCCTGAGGAGAAAAGCCATATAACGGCTGTTAGGACCAGGCCCCAGGCCTTCAATCATCCATGCCAGCCCCATCCAGCCCTCATCTTCCAAGATGCGCTTGTCTCAGCCATTCCCCTGGACCCCCTGAATTTACCTGGCAGGCATCCTTGCCCCCCTTTACATGGCCAGCACACACCATGTCCTCCTGAATAAAGTGGGGCTCATCGGGCTTGGCGTTGATGTTGTACAGGCAGTTACATGTCTCGCGACTAATCAGTGGCACCTCAAGTTGCTGCAGTGGCCTGGGGGCCTGGAGGCTCACTGTGGGGGCAAAAGATGCTTACCCAGGGCCTTCTACCCTGAGTCCGGCTCCCCTCCATGCCTCTAGATGTCAGCGCCCACCTCACCTGAGGGGGCCACATGGCCCCATCCGGTGACAGTACATTGGAGGCCATTGGGGAAGGAGGCGTTGGCTGCAGGGAGGCAGATGGGCCGGATGTAGCGGGAGAAGGTGATGGGGCTGCTGAGACGGAGGAGCGCAATGTCACCCTGGGAGCCCTCCTGGCGGTAGCTGGTGTGGGAAATGATCTGCGCCACGGTACGGACCTGGGCCTCAGTGGAGTAGGAGTCCAGCTTGTCGGCCCCCAGCTTTACCTCATAGTCTTCCTTGCGGTGCTCCCTGTAGGCAGAAGGGCAAAGGCTGGGACCCAGGAAACCTGTCCTAGTTCCCTGATCCCTGTTGCCTTGTAGCATCCCACCCCAGATTCTCATCCCAGGCGAAGGACCTTTCAGGCCCCAAACAGCGCCCTGGTTTTATCCTGTCACCCCTGGCCTTCACTCCTGATACCCCTAGACACAATGCAGAACCCCAACCTCTGACCTAGACTGATCTCTAAACTTTGGGCCTCCAGCCCACTTTTGACTTCCCTGCCCCCCATCCAGTTGGTACCTTGGGAAGCAGTGAGCAGCCGACAGCACCCACTCCTCAGACACAAGAGAACCGCCACACACATGGGTGCCGTCATAGGTGATGCTGACCTGCCAGGGCCACTGGCCAGGGGCTGCACTGCCACCACCTGTGACGCGTGCTTGGGAGGCCATGCCGCACAAGGCTGCTCAGGGAGGAAGGAGAGCAAGTCAGGCCCTTCTGGGGCCCCCACACCAGGTCCTTAGCCCTGCCACTCCCCATATAGCCCAGGAGATCTGGTTTGGAGCTTGGGAAGTGAATTCACAGAAGCCAGCCAACCCTCTGTCCCCATCCCACTGCTCACCAGTCATGGTCAGTTCTGCCCCCTTGCCATCCTAGACCCACTACCTAATTCAGGTCTCACCCGGCTTCCTTCCTCTCAGGCCTTCCTGCCTTCCATCCCATCCACTCCTTATAAGTCTGAAGATCTTTATAAACCACAAATCTGGCCAGGTCACACCCCTGCCTAAATCCTTCCCCCGCTCCACACTGCCTTTAAGATACATTCCAGCCCTTCCATGACATTGACATCTACTCCAGCCATCTCTCTGGACACTTCCTGTCGCATACATGGGGTCACATACCTGTTCGCCTCTAGATCTTTACTTATCCAGGTCACTCTGCCTAGAACACCTTTCCTCATCCCTACTCTGCTCAGCAAACTTCTCTTTGCCTATGGAAACTGTGCAAATGTCAGCCTCTCTGGAACCTGCCCTGACTCTGCTGGCTGAGTTAGGCAATGCCTCAGAGCTCCCAGGGCCCCGTGCTTCCCCAGCACTGCCCGATCACACAATTGTTCTCGTGTCTATGACTGTGTCTGCTTCAACACACCAACCTGGGCGTTCCCTAGCGGCAGGGACTAGAGCAGATCCCAGGTGCCCAGCGCCCAGCACAGGGCTGGGCACACAGAGGGAGTTGTGGCTGTGTGTTGAACAGATATACAGAACAGCCGGGCTCCCATGGTGTGAATGTCTAGTTTCCAGGACAGCCCCACCCCCACTGAGGCCACTGTTTGAAGCAGGACCTAACTGCTCTTCACAAAGTCACCTTCCCAGGAGCATAGAAAACTACCCAGCCAGGCCCCTCCCCTGATAATAATGACAATAGCTACTATTTAGTGACTGTTTAAACAATGCCAGGCCCCAAAGGGGCTTTCACTTCCTTTATTTTCTTGACTCCTCATACAGCCCCAGGAGATAGACATAATCAACTTCATTTTAGAGGTGAGAGGACTGGCTAGTAAGTGGTGAAGCCCGGATTGAAAACCTGATTTGGAGTCCGGTGGTGTGCCTTCCAAGAAAGGAGACCCTTGGTTTGTTTCTCTCCAAAGGACCCACCTTTGGAGTCAGACCTGGGTTTAAATCCTAGCTCTGCTGCTTATGGCTGTGTGCCCTTGGGCAAGTCACTTCTGTGTGCCTCAGTTTCTTTATCCATAGAACGAGGCCTATAATCCTATCTCACAGAGCTATTGTGAGACTTAAATAAGGGACTTAAATTAGACAATATGGGTGGGCGAGACAGCCCTGCAGAGAGAGGGTCAGGCACTCATTAAACACTCCATGGGAATCTGAGTCCATGTCCCCTCCTCTTCCCCTCCCCTACCGTCCCGGCAAGCCTCACCTTCGGCCCCGTCGGCTCCTGGAGGGAAAGAGAAAGAGGGAGAGGTAAGCAGAGAAGACGAGGTGCCAGACCCCTTAGCACCTGCCGCTTCTTGGGAGTGCCGGCCCCCCCAGGAAGCCAAAGCTGAAGGGAGAGGGAGAAGTCAAGCGCGAGGGAGGCCCAGCCCAGGGTTCTTGAGCCCAGAATAAGGGACGTGCCCCATAAAAGGGTTATACTACCCTCGGCCCCTGTGCACCACCCCTCCCCGCGTCCCGCGCTCCCCGCCTGCACATACTCACCCATCCCGGACTGGAATAATCCGAGCAAAAGCAGAATGGCCACAGCCTCCAGACGCCCAGACCCTAGGCCCGCCCTCTGGGCCATGGCCCAGGATGAGGGCCCCTGGGGAGACACCAGGCACCCACAGGAAGGGACCTAGGGCTGGTTTCGAAGGCAAGATCCAGATGTTAGGTCCAGACGGAAGGGATCCCGGAATCCACACCGGGAACGGGGAGCAGGTGTCCAAGGCTGGCTTTGAAGGCACGGAGCAGGCACAAGAGACTGTCTCCACAGCCAGCAGTGAGGACACGTCTCTAGCACAGCCTGGCTACGCAGAGACCTTCCAGAGTGGCGGCTCTTTGGAGAAAGGCACCTACCTGCCGGCCCCTCCCCTGGCCCCGCCCTCCTGCTCAGCTCTGTTGGCTTCATTTGCCACCAAAGTACTGAGTCCTCTCAGACCCCTAGACTCTTCGCGTGTGTGTGTGTGTGTGTGTGTGTGTGTGTGCGTGTGCGTGTGCGTGTGCGTGTGTGTGTGACAGACAGAGAGACAGAGAGAGAGATCAGCCAGAGAGCAGCCCCGGGCAGGACTGGGAACCCTGAGGGCCTGACTCCCTGGAGTGCTACCCAATTGCTGTTTGCCCCAGGTTTTTCAGGTCTCCCAGACAGTTATGTCCCCCCAGGGCCTGGCCCAGCCTTTGTTATCATCGGGCCACAGCCACTCCTGCCTCCTTCTCTCCTTAGGCCTGGTGTCTGAACCCAGGACACCCGGGTCTGCCTGGGGCTAGGGCCATTTCAGGCCCTTCTGTGAAGCCGGCAGCCTCATCCGCTTGTGGTGAGGTGTGGTGAGCGTGTCTGGCAGTGCCAATCATCCCACAAATATTTACTGAGCACCCACTGTGTTCCAGGCACGGGAGACAAAGCAGACACCGTCCCTGCCTTCCCTGAGCTCACCCTGAAGTAAGGATGACAGACTTGAATCAGATAGTCACACAAGCAATTACAGAATAATTTCAAAGTAGGAACTGTGATGGAGAAAGAAGAATGGGGGCTCTGGGAGCCATTCACAGGAGCTTGACATGGCTGGCATCAAGAAGGGATCCTCGAGGAAGTGCCTTTAGAACTGAGACCTAAAGGGGTTATGAAAAGGTGTTAACAAGGCAGAGCTGGGGGAAGGGTGTTTCAGGTGAAGCGTTCTCATGTGGAGGGCGCAGGTGGCACAGGTTTGGGGGAAGGAGGCCCGAGTGACCGGGTTGGGGGCCAGGTGCACCCTCTGTCAGTGTATGAGTCTGTGGGCACTGGGAATGCATGTTGGCTTCAAGCTTCAGAAACACAGACCCCTGCTTCCCCGCCTACCTTCCATAAGACTAGACCGCTGAGCCAGGAGTTCAGGACCCAAACCGGAGGGTAGGGAATTACTGGAGTGAGTGAGGGGACAGAGGCTGACTCCGGAAGGTGTCTAAGCTGGGGAGGAGGGGGCAAGATATGGCATTGTGGGTGGGTTTAGGTAGTGGATGAGGTATATTAAATGTTTGTGGGGGATGGCATATGGGTGATGGGCTGGGTATGGGGAGCAGGGGGTGATGTCTGTCCCTGTGCAGATTCAGGGGACTATTCTTTTTGGGACCTGGTAGCTAAAGATAAGCCTGGCCCTTCAACAACCTCTGCCCATCTCCTCAGTCTCCCAAGCAGAACTTCCAACTTCCCTCTAGGTCTCCCCTCCCCCATCCTCTGCCTATTCAACCCAGAGATTTGACTGCAGCCCGGGGTGACCCCTCTGCACCCTCATCAGCTGGCTTCCACCCCAAGCATCCCCCTTTCCTCATTTGCCCTTTTTCTGTGCTCAAACATCACCTCCTCTATGACCCTTTCCTGACCCTCAGCCAAGGGTGTCCATGTGTGTCCCCCACTACACTGGGAGCACTTCGTGGGCTTATCTATCAAATCTCAGCTGTGCCCTGACTTAGTAGTCAGCAAGAAATGTGCTCGAGTTAATGCAGGGAGCAGCACTGGTCGGGGGAGGGGAGGGAGTGGGATCTACACACACACAAGCATGATGGGGCCCAAACCTGGGGGCTCTGGGCAGGGCCTGAAAGTGGTGGACCCTTGAAGGGTTCAAGTGTCATGTGTGTGTACTGGGGACACTGGAGGTGTACACTTTGGGGCATCATTCATCAGGGTGTGTTATGGGGGGCGGCTCCCTGTGGATATAAGATATGGTAGACAGACCCTGGAATCTCAGAGTGCTGGACCCTTCCTCTGACCCTCACTCTCAGTCTTTCTTGTTCTGGGGGGAGGGGCAGCAGGGTCTGAGCTAGGGCTGAGGTGTCCAGCAGGTGCTGGGGATGCTGATTCCATTGGAGAGGTGACACACACTCAGCTGGCCACCCAACCTCCAACACCCTGGGGCAGGAATGAGGGACAGCTGCCACGTTATCAGGGACACATTTCCTGGGAGCCCAAGGCTTGACTCACAGAGACCCAGGAGGGAGGGTCCCTATCCCTGGGGCTTCCCCCAGCCCCTCAGGCTGCCCCCAGCAATGTCACAAGGCCACGTGTCTGTGGTTACACCTTTATTGTCTGCTCCACTGCCCCCAAGGATTCCAGGGCCCGAAATAGCCAGGCACTGAGGCCCAATGATCTGAAGCCGCTGCAGTCTAGGTGGGTGGGGCGTTGTGGAGATTTTGGCAAAGGAACAGAGCCGGTTGGGTCACATTCCAGCCGCACTGGGCGGGAAGTGGAAGGCTGGAGGAGGGTGGCGGGGGACAAGGAGAGGTAGCCCAGGGACCCAGGCCCCCTCAGCCCTGGATCAGGGGCATCAGTAGCAGCAGGAACAGAGCAGCCTGAGGGGATCCTGAGGCCCTGGCCGTGTCTGGGGGGCAGAGATCGCTGCCTTCAGGGGGCCAGTAGGAGCCACTGGGGGGCAGGAAATGGGCCTCCCCCACTGTCTGAGAGATCCAGGCTTCTTCAGGGCCAATGGCAGCAAACAGCTCCCTGCTCCCGCGAACAGCCAAGCCCACAAGGACCCAGGAGCCCCCCTCAGTCTGGCACAGGAGCGGAGGTGCTGAGGTCACCTGCAGTGTCAGAGCCAAGGCCAAAATCGTCTGTCCAGCCACAAAGCACTGCTTGTCTCCATCCTTAGGCATCCTGGCCCCTGGTCTCTCTCCAAGGTCCGGCCAGAAAGCAGTGCTTCTTCCCATTTGGGGCCCAGTACCCAAGAATTCCAATCCTGCTCTCTCTCTAGGGTCCAGCTGCCCAACACTGCCTCTCCCCTCCCTGGACCAGGATGCCCAGGCCCTTGTACCTCACACCTGTCCTCCTGCCCCTCTGCATACAGGACACAGAGAGTCCCAGGGGGCAGAATGCCCTGATAGAGGCAGTGACAGAGTCGTGGTGTCAAGACGGAGACAGCAGCAGCCACAGGGACTAGAGAGAAGAAAGAGGGTTGTCCCAGGGATTCTGGCCTCCAGTCACCTCTCACCTCCAGGACCCAGGGCTCTCACCTCGGTCTTGGGGGTCCTTCCAGCCCAGCACCCAGCAGCTGGCCCCCAGGGGGATACCTCCTGGGTGAAGGCAGATGGGCAAGGCTGATGGGGAGGGCTTCACCCGGGAGCTCAGCTCCAGAAGGGCCAAGGGGGGCCGAAGTCCCAGGTGCCGGGGCAGGCGGATGCTGATGACCAAACGGGATACCTGGTGGCCCTGTGGGAGGGGGCTGGCCCCTGCCCGGCCCAGGTACACTTCAATATAAGGCACTGTTGTAGAGCCCAGCCTGTTGGAACAAGGCCCAATGTCACCTCCTGTCCCCCCTGCTCCTGATTGCTACTAAAGTTCTTCCCAGCCCAGGGGAAAGTGTGGAATGAATCTCCAGGGTCATTCCACCAACTCTCTCATTATTCCTCCCTCTGAATCTCTCTTCTGTCTCAAAACACTTCACAGCAATTTCCCTGCGCTGTAAGAGCCCTCAATGGCAAGAGTCCTTTGGTCCATCTCCAATTCTTCCCTCTTGCCCAGGAGATGAGTGAGACCCACCTGAGGACACAGTGAGTGGCTGCCAGGACCCAGCCTGGGGCCACGAGGATCCCAGTGCAGACTCGATCTCCAGCCACATGCACCTCTGCCAGCCAGGGCCACAGGACCCCCATCAGAGCGGGCTCTGGCCGCAGGCCACAGGCTAGGGAGAGGAGGTGACCACCTCAGTGGGGACCCCACAGCTGACCCCTGAAGCCCCTACCATGGGTCTAAGCATCACCAGGAACTAAGCCCCAATGGCCCTCCTCACCACCATGCTCTGTGTGTGGGGGACAAGTCTGTATCTCAGTCTCCTCCCCCTCAGGGCCCCAGTCCCAGGCCAGCTGGTCCTCTAGGTAGGCTCCCCGAGTCACATGGCTGATCCACGGGCCATGGGTCTGCAGGGGGAAGAAGGCTCTGGGACGTAGGCAGCCACTGGAGAAGTCTCTGATTCCAGCCAGGAACCAGGTCCCCTCCTCCCGGCACAGAAGGCTCCAACTCGAGTCGTTCTGTTGCAAGAGAGCATGTGCGTTGCCAGCCTCTGTGAGTGTGCGCAAGTTGGTGAGAGTGTATCAAAGATCCTGGGGCTTTCCTGGACTCCACAATCTCATGTACTCGGACATAACAGGTCCCACCTCCTCCAAGCCAGGCTCCAATACTAATCTATATAAAAAGTCAGCCCTTGCTTTAGGATTCTCTTTAAACCGAAGGGTAGCAAGAAAGCCCAACATCGCCCGGGGCCCGCCTCAGGCCCCTCCCGAAAGTCCTCCAGGACCCGGCTCCGCCCCCAGAGCGCTCAGCCTCATTCCGAGCCCCCTCGGCCCCTCTGGGTCCTCCTCAGACCAGCAGGCTCCGCCCCCGCCGCTCACCCAGCAGCGGCCCGCCTCCTCCTCCTCCTCCTGGTAGGCGGGGCAGAGCGCGTGGGGCGGGTCTCCCGGTAGCGGCACTGACGCCCCCTGGCGGCCGTACAGGCAGTGACACCACCAGCCGCCCAACAGCTCCGCCTCAAGCAGCGTGCTGGGGCCAGATGCGGGCTCTGGGAGGGAAAAGGGAGCGAGCCCGCGCTGCGGCCCAGTCGGGCCCCGCGCCGCCCACCTCGCCCAGCGCCGGGCCCCTGCTCACCCCCGCGGCCCCAGCGACCCAGGCGGCAGCGGCTCCCGGGCAGGAAATAGTGTTCTGGGTGCGGTAAGCATACTGGCCGCGGGGCTGCGCTCAGATTCACGGGCGCGCGCAGCTGCAGCAGCGCCAGGTCCGAGGCGTCGTCCCACGAGGCGTTCTCATGCGGCACGAGGTGCGCCACCTGCTCCGCGCGTGGGCGCGAGGGCAGCAGCACACGCCAGTTGTCCAGGTCGCGGGGCTGGCGGTCTGAGTTGATGAGGCTGTGGGATAGGGAGACTGGGGACGTGGGCCGGATCCTGCACACTCAGCTCGAAACCTCGCACTCGGGCTTAGGCTCTAGCCTAGGCGAGGATCCTGCATCCCTGGCCTGAGGCCTGAGAACTGCGTACTCAGACCCCTGCATCCTGGATGGAACTTATACTACCCTTCTACTTGCCCCCAATAGACTAGGACCTCGCTTTGCGAGTTGGATCCTACATCTCCCAAGGGGGCCCCACATCCTGACCCCGCCCAGGGAAAGGGCTGGGGCCTACGTGTAGACAGTGTCTCAGGCTGATGGGGGGGGGGGCAAGAATCTGTGTTTTTACTCACTCCAGGAAGCAGCTGGCAGGTGCCAAGACCCAGCTTTCAGACACCAGCGCCCCATGGCAGGGTTTGGATCCTGGCACCATCACCTGGGCTTCCCAGGGCCAGGACCCTGGCCGCGGGGCCTTCCCACACTCTGAGGGGTGAGAGGCCTGGGTCAGGGGGCCTCCTGAACCCCCAGCCTTTTCCACTCCAACTCAAATCTCTCATGTCCAGCTGACATCCAGGAGTCTTGCCCCCTCACCTGGCAGGGCGATGGTGCAGTTCTCATCAGTGGCCTCCAAAGGTCCTGACTGGGGCTCCCAGGACTGGGGGGGAAAGGCAGGCCCCGGCTCTGACCCTATCACCTGTTCCCGTATCCATGCCTCATAGGGAGCCACAGCAGTGAAGACTCCAGGCCGGTTCCTCCGCCCACAGCCAAAGCCAAAGCTGGTGATTCCTGCCTGGAACCATCGGCCACCTTCCTCACAGACCAGGGGTCCCCCAGAGTCTCCCTGATGATAGATGACTCAGTGTCAGGAGATCAGCTCAGGGACCCAGCACTTATACCCACCAGCACCTCACAGAGTTTCTACACCTCTTCTTGATGGCTCAACATACAGCCACCTTCTCCTAGAAACCTGCCTTGGCTGTGCCTTGTTCTCTGTATTCCCTACAACTCTAAACAGAAGAAAGCCTTGTAAAGCAGAAAGGTTTATGAGCGGCCAAAGCCGGGAGCACCAAGCTAATGCATTAAAGGCCATGCCAGAGAGGCCTGCAGGTCTCATTCAGAGCCAAATGATTCTTGTTCATTAAATAGTTCAAATAAACCCTGTCTTGGGTTTCTGAGTTCACCCAATTGATAAAGTAAATCAGAGATGCCAGCATGCAGGAGGAAGAGGCTGTTAGAAATAGGCAATCTAGGGGCCGGCCCCATGGCTTAGCGGTTAAGTGCGCGTGCTCCGATACTGGCGGCCCGGGGTTCAGATCCCCAGCGCGCACCGACGCACCGCTTCTCTGGCCATGCTGAGGCCGCGTCCCACATACAGCAACTAGAAGGACGTGCAACTATGACATACAACTATCGACTGGGGCTTTGGGGGAAAAATAAATAAATAAAAATTTAAAAAAAAGAAAAAGACATAGGCAATCTAAAAGCAGCAAGAAGGGACAGTTTGAAAGCAAGTAAGGAGGAAGAACTACAATGAACAGACACTAAAACAATGCCTCTGGGGCCATTTAATGCTGGGGCATTGTCCCTAAGACATTTCTGTAATCCAGGTCGGGCATCTCTGTGACCTGACGAGAGTCACAAAGAAGGTTCAGAATCATCTAGAACTGTGCTGTCCAATATGGTAGACACTAGCCACATATGGCTATTTAAATTAAAATTAATTAAAATGAAATAAAATTAAAAATTCATTTCTCAGTCACCCCTAGCCACATTTCAAATGTTCAATAGCCAATGTGGCTAGTAACTACCATACTGGACAGCACAGATAAAGAACATTTCTATCATCATAGGAAGTTATACTGGACAGTGCTGGTCTAGAGGAATTTGAATTGTTTGCAATCCTGTTCAAGAAGGCAGGGGATTATGTCCACAGGTCCTGGAACCTCATAATTGAGAGGGACCCTGAAGACCATCTAGCTTGAATTCCCATCACCACCAGGCATGCTTGAGTGCCCTCAAAAATGTGTGTCATTTGAGGAAAGTTTCTGGGTTAAAATATACTATGTTTTGGCCTGCAGCAGGTTATCTGGAAGATTTCCTTCTGTGAAGGATTAATTCATTTTTTTAAATAACTATTTATCGAGTGTCTACTAAGCAACAGGTGCTGTGCTCTGAGCTGGAATGTGGGATTATAATAATAATAATAATGATAATAATAGCTAATACTTATTTAGCTCTTATTAAGGACCAAGCACTGTTCTAAGTGCTTTCATGTATACAAATTCATTTAATCGTCGTAACTACCGTGTGAGGTGGGTAACACTATCATCTCCATCTTCCAGATGAGAAAGTCTGGACATGGAGTGGTTAAATAACTTGGCCAAGGTCACACAGCTAATGAGTGGTGGTGCTGGGCTTCCAACCAGGCCAACTCACTCCAGAGTAACCACTGCACTATACTGCCATAAATAATAGTGCCCACTTGTTGAGACCCAAATTCTGTCCATTTATAATCTTCACATCAATCCTATCCATTGGCAGTCTTGCCCTCTTTTTGCAGATGAGGCTCAGAGATATGAGAGAGAAGAGATCTATTTCTAACACCACTTCCTATTGGTTAGGGCTCTCCCTGGCCCTGTTGGGCAGGTGCAGGGACCTCCTCTCACCTGGCAGGTGTCCTTGCGGCCCTCCCGGTAGCCAGCACACAGCATCCCTGGCAATAGCTGGAAAGTGAGGTTGAAGGGCCCGGGCCGGCTGTAGAGACACTGACAGGCAGTCTCTCCCAGCAGCCTGAGCTCTACTTCTTGTAGCACCCAGGGGAGAGGCAGGGGGTCTGCAGGCAGAACCAGAGAGCAAATGCTGTGAGGCAGGTAGGGAGTGCCCTGCTCCCCAGGGCTCAGCTTTGTCCCCTCCAGCTGCCTCCTGGAAATCTCTTTCTAGATGCCCCATGGCACCTCAGCGCCCCACATCCAAAACCAATCATCACCTCCTCCTGCTCCTCTCTGTTCTTCTTCCTACATTCTCATCCCAGCATGGCCCCATCAAGCATCCATGGAGAGCTGCCATGGATGGTTGTGCACTGCACAAAGGTCCCCAGCCAACAAAGGATGCGGGCGGGGGTTAAAATCACTAAGCTCTGAGCCCTGACGTGGGCTGTGTCGGTCCTGAGAGGGCACACTTTTCAACAAAGACATCATACAGACTGAGTTACCAAGCCTGGAATCTGGGTGTCATCCTTGACCCATCTCAACTTTCCCTCCCCAATCACTTCCCAAGTCCAGAAAACCTCTCATTTGTGACTTCTTGGCATTTTCACTGCAACTGCCTGAGTTCAGGAGCCACAACTTTGAGCCTAGACGATTGGCTCAGCCTCCTCACTGGTCTGTTCCCCAACCCACCCTTCACTTGTTGCTGCCGGCGGAATTTTTTCAAAGCTCAGCTCTGGTCTTACCAGGAACAAGCAATGGATTCCACTGTCTAAACCTGAGGCCTCAGCCCTGTCCTGAGGTGAACGTGGTTTTGATGGAAACAAAGTCTCAGGATCCAGAAAGGGGTGGGGGAGCTACTTCCCTCCCCACCGGGAATCCTGAGAGGTCAGGTGATGGCTGAGGCTGTACTCAAGGGTCATCCAGGGAGGTTTGGGATTGATTGTCCCAGGGCTTTCTGGAGCTGAGGGGTACTCAGGCCCTTAGTCTGACCTGAAGGCCTTGGTGGTCCAGCCCCAGCAGCTTTTGCAGCCTCTGTTGCCTCCATCCCCTCCACTCCAGCCTGGCAACCTGGCCCTTCTCCATCCACTATGCCTCACCTGGGTCCCCAGGATGGCGTCCATTTCCCCCCACTCCACATTTCTATAATGCCAACTAATGTGTTCTCTTCACAAAACCTCCCCAGAAATCTCCTGCTCTGGGTGCCCTTTGTCAGGATGGCCTGGCCCCCTCTGCACAGACTTCTTAGGTGCTCAGAATGACCCTTCCTTGTCACTTCCTGCCCTGAGGGGCCCCTGCAAGCAGAGGCTGTGGCATCTCCTCCTGAAGCCCCCTCGCCAAAGCCCCGGGCACTGCACAAGTCTGATTGCAGCAGATGTGGAATAATTGTGGGGCCTTGCTGACATGGAAAGGTAGCACTGGATAATGAGGATGATGGGGGATGGAAAAGTGGTCTATTTCACCCCACCCCCCGCCCGCTTACATAGGTGTTTGCTTATTTATTCAATTTATTGTTTGTCTACCTGCTAGAGTGTAAGCTCTGAGAAGGCAGGGATTCTGGCTTATGTTCACTGGCGGATCTCTAAAGCCTAACGGTGCCCAGCACAAGGAGGTGCTCAAGAAATGTGTGTTGAATGAATGAAAGACGGACTGAACGAACCAGGGTGAGTAGGGAGAAGACAGGAGGTTGGGAAGCAAAGAGATGAGTGGGGGAGGTTAGGATGGGAGGAGGAGGGACGGGAGGAAAGAATGGCAGAACATGCATATAGTAATATGCCAGGGGCTGTGCTGCAGTGCCCGGGGCACCTAGGGTACAAATATCTAAAATGCATTAATTACCGCTATGCTAGGCACTGTGCTATAAACTTCACGTGGGTTTTCTCATTTAATCCACACAACAACCCCATGAACTGGGCACTATTTTCCTCAATTTTCAGGGGAGGAAATGGACTTAAGTGAAGTGCTTTGTCTGAAACAGCAGAGCTGGGATGGGAACCCTAGTCGAATCCTAAATCCAGGAAAAAAACACTAGAAGGAAAGGTGAGGAGGAGGGAATGGAGGGATGATTCAGTGGTCTTAGTTTGAGAGCCCTTGGGGCGGAGGGTAGATGCAGATAGGCACGGCACTTACCGTGGCCCAGCAGAAACCCGCCCTCCAGGCTCCGCCCGAGGCCCCGCCCCGTGGGCCCGCCCTGCCGGGGCCACCGCTTTTAGGACACGCCCCCAAGGTCCCGCCCTGAGGACCGCTCAGTAGGCTCCACCTCTGCGATAACCTCCCTCCCCGGACACCCTAAGCCTTACTCACCCGCCTCCTGCACGTCGCCCCAGCCCGTGGCCCAGCAGGCTGTGCCATGAGCGAAGCGGTGCGAGGCGCGGGGCAGGCAGACGGGCCGCACGGCGGGGCCCAGGCTGGCGGGCGAGGCCAGGCGCAGCAGGGCCAAGTCGGAGCCCAGTTCCACGCTGCTGTAGTTGTCCGGCACCAGGATGGCGGCCACTGCGCGGACCTGCCCGCCGTCCAGGGGCCCGTCCTGGGAGTGCACGCCCAGCAGTACTGACCAATCGGCCGCGGGCTCCAAGGTCCCGTTCCTGCGCCGAGGGCGAGGCGGGAGGGGATTAGGTTGACCCTCTGGAGGGTGGGGGCTCAGAGCCAGGGAGAAGGTGGGGTCAGCAGGAACCCAGGAGGGGCGGAGTCGGACCCAGATTTGGTGCTGGGGCGATCGAGGTTGAGATACACTCTTAAAAGGGGAGGAGCGAATCTGATTTGGAGGTGGTTGATTAGGGGCATTGGAAAGATGAAATTCAGACTCGGATGTCTGGAGAGCGGTGGGACAGGTCTGCTGGCGGCACCACCACGCTCAGAACCAGGATACCCCGTAGGGCACCTTGGGGGAGAGCGAGGAGGCGGGGGCAGCTCGGCTCCAAGTTAGCCTGGAGTACGCAGGGGTCAGGCTTTGGGCCGTGCTTGGCTTTTGAAGGAGAGGGGCTGGACAAGGGCGAATACTCACTTCACGAAACAGTGAGCAGCCGAGAGGACCCAGGAGGGGGCGATGAGGGAGCCCCCGCAGATGTGGCCCCCCCTCTGATGCAGGCTCACCTGCCACGGCCAGGTGCCCAGCTGCGCGTCTGAGCCCCCCATGATGCGGGCAGAGGGCTCAGGGCGACCGCAGTCTACAACGGCGTACCGAGGAGGTCATGGTTCGCTCCTGTCCCCCATGCCAGATGCACGGGTAACTCAGGAGAAAGCCCCCTCCCTGACCCCGCTTCACCTTGCCCCCTGAACAAATAACAGAGAGGACGTAGGCACTTCTAAGTTTCTGGTCACTTCCACCTCGCTCATCCCCTTCAGCCAGCCTTAACCTCCTTTAAGATCTGAGGACCTCCCCTCGCCATTCCTTACCCAGATCGTCAGGTTCTTCTTGGGTAGGACTAAGAGCTGTGAGTCAGAGGGTAAAGAGAGGAAGAGTCTGGTGACTTCCAGCCCCTGACACTGCCCAGCCCCCATCTTCCTGATCTCCATCCTCCACCCCCTACCTTTCTCTTCTCCAGTTCCCTGCGCTTCCAGCCCCGCCACCAGCACCCATGCTACCCCTTCTATCTTTTCTGACTTTCCCCCAGTCCAGCTGCCTTACCTGAGTCCTGGAAGGCTCCTGGGATGGGGCTGATGGCTGGAAAGAGGGAGTCAGGGAGAAGCTGGAGACCTGTGCTTACAATGTGCCCACCCTGGCTCCTTCCCCACAAGCTTTACAGCTACTGCATCTCTCCATGGCCCCCAGGCCTCCTTTCCCCTCCTCTCAGGCACTATTCCTCTCCCTCCCGACTCCTCCCCCTCTCCTTCTACTGATGTCCCAGTACCCTTCCTCCTCTGACACCCCACTCTGCACACAGAACCCAAAAGTTCTGCCTTCCAGCTCCCCAAATGCTAGGACCCAGTCCACTTGCAGCGATCCTCTGTCCCTTGAGGTTACCAAGGATCACAAGCGGGAGGAGCAAGTGCTGGGACATGGCACATTTGAGTCAGCTGGAGGTGCAGAGATGGGTGAAGGTCTGCTCCCTTCCACGGCTCTGTCACTGCCTAAGAGCCAGTGACTCCTGATGGCCCCAGGAGCAGCCCCACCCTCCCTGGCTGGAGCCCATCTCTGGGAATCTGAGAGGATCTGGGGCTGGAAGGGGGAAGTAGGGAGCCTGAAGGCCCCACCCAGATCCCTGTGCACATCTCACATCTCTGGAGGCCCAGGGTGGGGGTGGAAGGCAGATGTCCTAGTTCCAGGACACCTGTTGGGCGGGGGAGGAAGGAATGGAGAACCCTGTGGGCAAAGGTAGAAGGAGAAGATAGCCAGGGGTTGGGAGGCCAATGTTCTGGGTCCTTGGTGAGGCAGGACTGCAGGTGAGCAGTGGCCCTTGGGACAGAGGAGGTGGCCCCTCATTGGCATGACTCACCTGAGACCTCACTTCTGCTTGGGGTGCGGCTACCCCAATGGCTTCGCCTTTTCTTCTCACACAGCTCTGGTTACTGGAGTTGCTGGCCAGGTCCGGAACAGGGGCCCTAGGGAATTCAATCCCATCCCAACAAAAGGATCACAGATTCCGGCAGGTTGGGCAGGGCATAGGATTCTGGGAGGGGGCTGGGCAGGCTGGCAAGGCCAAAAAAGACTCTACCCTTCTCTGTGTTAGAGTGAGTACTTTCACTTAGTCTTTGTGTGACCTTGGGAAAGTCACTCAACCTCTCAGTGTATATCCATAGGAGTCCACTTAGGAAACATATGGCACCCCAAAGAGGAATTGAGGAGAGTTCGATGAAGGAACTATTTACAGAGGTGTAGGGAGGGTTAAGGGAAACCAACAGGGGCTAGTAAAGCACCCCAGGGCTAGCAGTAATGGGGAGCCCTGCCTGAGAGGCAAAGAGAGGGAGCCGATACTGGAACCAAGAAAGTGACAGAGCTACAGCTGTAGGAGAGGCCAGCCAGCGCCTTCAGTGGAGGAATGCAACCTTCATCAATCTGTGGCTCAGCAGAGAGGGAGCTGGGCAACAGAAATCCCCATCTCACTGTCCTTCTACCCTCTGATCACCTGCCAGCTCCTCCCATCGTCTGAAACCTACCAGAAGCCAGAGTGCAAGGGAGCCCATGATGTGGCCCATAAAGGGTGCTCTCCAGGGGAACAGATCAGGATGGAGAAGGGTGGAGAGTGGAAATGGAGGGTCAGACAAAGAGTATCCACATACATATATCTATTTTCTAACCAATAGTATAAGCTAATAATAATGGTATAACTCTATTAGTCCAGTTTCCCTAGAAAACAGAGGCCTAGGCTAAGCCTACAGGCTTGTGCTTTATTGCGAGGTACAATCCAGGGCAGCAAGAGCAAGGGAAAATGAGAAGTGATCAGGGAGGGAGGAAATGCAAATCCAGGGACCCAACAATTGACTGGATTGAGTGACAATCTTGCTAACCTCAGCTGGTCCACGGCAGACAGTGAAGGCGAACGTGGTGGTAACAACTTCAGACTTGTTAACAAATCCTGGAGGTTCTAGGTCTCCTCGGGCACTCATTTGTAGGCATTTGCCCCTCCAAAGATAAAGAACCAGTCATTTATTCAAGAAACGCTCAGAAAAATGAGGCAATGGGCAAAAAAATGTAGGAAAGAAGAGAGAATGTGCACGGTGGTTAAAGCAAAACTTGACTGCCGTGAAGACCCTCACCTACCAACTGCTCGCGCCAGCCCGGTAGTTCTCAGGACCTCCTTACACTCTTAACAATTATTGAGGAATCCAAAGAGTGTGTGCAGGGGCCGGCCCGGTGGCGCAAGCGGTTAAGTGCGCGCGCTCCGCTGCGGCGGCCCGGGGTTCGCTGGTTCGGATCCCGGGCGCGCACCGACGCACTGCTGGCAAGCCATGCTGTGGCGGCGTCCCATATAAAGTGGAGGAAGATGGGCACGGATGTTAGCCCAGGGCCGTCTTCCTCAGCAAAAAAAAGAGGAGGATTGGCGGATGTTAGCACAGGGCTGATCTCCTCACAAAATAAATAAATAAATAAATAAATAAAAATAAAAATTAAAAAAAAAAAAAAACAAAGAGTGTGTGCTTATGTGGGTTATAGCTGTCAATATTTACTGCATTTGAAATTAAAACTGAGAAATACTTAAAATACTAAATTCATTAAAAAAAATAAGTCCTTTATATGTTAATGTAAATAACATTTTTATGAAAAATAACTACATTTTCCAAAACAAAAAAAAAAAGTAATGAGAAGAGTGGTATTATTTTACATTTCTGCAAACCTCTTTAGTGTCTGGATTAAGAGAATACAGCTGGATTCTCATATCTGCTTCTGCATCGAGCATGTTGGGATATCACATGTCAAGTAGCCTTTGGAAACCTAGGCTGTACACTGGGCATCATGAAAATAGTTTTGGCCTTGGGGACCCCTCTAGGAGTTCCCAGACCATATTTGAGAACTGCTGCTCTAAGACAATAATTCTTTTTTTTTTTTAATTTTTTATTTATTTATTTTTCCCCCAAAGCCCCAGTAGATAGTTGTATGTTGTAGTTGCACATCCTTCTAGTTGCTGTATGTGGGACGCGGCCTCAGCATGGCCGGAGAAGCGGTGTGTCAGTGCGCGCCCTGGGATCCGAACCCCGTCTGCCAGTGGCGGAGCCCGCGCACTTAACCGCTAAGCCACGGGGCCGGCCCTAAGACAATAATTCTTAACCCTTTCCCCAGCCAACAGATCTGAGGAATAGGACTTGCTTCTCTAAATAGCACAGTGGTTCGCCAAAGCAATGGATCTTGTGGGAGGAAGGGGGAACACTTCCCTTTAGGAAGACAGATTGGAATTTCTGGTGGGTGCAAATGCAGGTTGCAAAAGCTGCCCAGGTGATTCTGATTGTTCCTCCATCCCAAGATGCCCTTGCTTGAGAAGCACTGCTGTAAGCTTCCTAACAGGCAACACAAGAAGGAGCACAAAGAACTTGCTGGAATGCAGGAAAGTCTATATCTTGATCTAGGTGTTGGCTTCACAGGTGTATACAAATGCAAAATTTCATTGAGCTGTACCCTTAAGATTAGTACACTTTATGCACTTTACTGTATGGTTGTTATGTCTGAATAAAAAGAGACAAACACATTTTGCAATTAAGTAAATTCCAGGGTTGGTTAAGGAAAAACGAACTGAACCAGCTCCAAAAATGCTTTCCTAGACCACAAACTTTGGTAAAAGGTGAAGCATTACATCAGATACACCAGGACGTGCATGTTATGTAGTTTCTGAAAGAGAAAAATAATGAAACCCTTTAGCAATTGGAGAAACAATAAAAGCATGCTTAAGCAAAGTTGTTGATATTACATTCCTGATAAAAAGGATAATTTCTTTAAAAGAAATTTGGTAACAGGTTTCATTTTTCTAAATTGGCCTTCTCCCTAAAAAGATTATCACTGACCTAGAAAAAAAGACATTCTTCAGATAATCCTTAAAAATTTTTGTTTCTCTCAGCCAAGCTTTTGAAAAGTACTGAACGGAGGGAGCAGGAGACTGTTCCATAGGTTAAGGGCAGAGCCACATACGCTCCACATCAGCCAAGCTGGGCAGTGCCTCATCTCCTTGGGAAAAGAGGATGCGCAGAAATTGGAAGTCATTCCACTTCTGGTCAGGGTTGTTCTGTGAAGATCTTGCAGGCAGGGCTGTATGTCTCCTCAGAAAATAATCTGGGGTGTCTGCTCTAATGCACACTGGAATGGGTGCCATCACAGAGCAAGGCTGCAAACATTTTAGTTTGGAAAACTGTTAAAGCAAATGTAACCCATGGTAAGGTTACCAGATAAAATAGAGGATGTTCAGTTAAATCTGAATTTCAGATAATCAAGGAATAATTGTTTTGTATAACTATGTCCCATGCAATATTTGGGAAATACTTATACTAATAAATTATTTGTATTTATCTGAAATTCAGATTTAATTGGGTGTCCTGTATTTTTATTTGCTAAATCTGGCAACCTTATTCCCTTGGCCATAACATTTTCTCGCTAAGTTACTGTGTTGTTGCCTCTCTGCATGGAAGAATGAGACTTTCTGAAGTGTGCTCCAAAATAACATGAGATGGGGCCTAAAATGCACACTCCATCTTACTCAATGGAGTGACCT